AGAAAGAAGTCAAGTATTAAAAGCATCATAAAGAAACAAAGGTTTAACATTATGTAGACAATTTGATTTGGCTGCTAAATATTTACTGAAATGTAGATTTTTAAGACCTCACGCTGGCTTCACTGCATAAACCGAGCTTAAACAGGTGGAGATGGACGAGTGAGGGATGCTGAAGAGCCCGTTGCCCTGGAGGCTGTGGGGTACAGACGGAGCAGGGTCCTGCGGCAGTTAGGGTGAAGCAGCAGGTAGCTGGGGGAGCTGTCCAAAGACATAACCGCTCCCGGGGGAAGCCGAGCAAAAGAGAGACGGGAAAAGGGAGGACAAAAAAACAAAAGGAGCCCCGTAGAAGAAAACATCAGCCATCAGCAGGCTCTGTTTCATCTCTTTGTGGCTTTCAGATTGTTGATCACATCTGCTGATGTGGTTTGATGACAGCAGTCACTGATCAGAGATCACTGATGAGACACTACAGGTGAATAAGAGAACTTCTAAAAAGGTTTTTCACAAGGGGATAGTAGATATTCCTTTATATCGCTCCATAAATCACAAAATACTGTCAACAGCCATTAGGAAAATCCATTTCCTCCATGTTTGTATTATTAAATGTCGTATAAATGAGTCTCTGGATGATAAGTGAACAAACCCCTCTGTGTGAACCTTCAGCACACAGAGAGGAATGAATGAGTGAAGTTTGGTGAATGTAAGAGCTGCTGAAGTGGAGATTTATCATCAGAGTCTGAGAACAAACTCATTTAGAGGAAACGTCCTTTAAAGAGACGTTTAGTTCCATTACAGACATTTAGAGACTCTACAGGTGAACACATGAACTCATAGATATCACCATGAAACTTCACCACTTCATCACTCACATTAAGAGGATTATTTATTGTATTACAAGTCTTCTGAAATGTTATGTTTAAATATGTAAATGAGGCGTTATGTAAAGGTAACTTTTGGTGAATTTAGGAGAAATCTACAGACGCAAACAGACAAAGTAGTGAAATAAAAACCTGAATGTGTGTTTCAGATGTTTTCTTCTACTCTGAAAGAAGACATGTTATGGAAGTAAAAAAGCCCCCAAAAACCAAGCAACCTGTTGGTTGAGATCTGTTGTGTTATTGCTGAAGTATTGATCAGATATTAGTTGTAATGCTCCCCGACTGTCAGCAAGCACTGAGCTGTACTGGACGTCTCTCCTCTAATTAAGCCCTCCTCCCTATACTATACCCCCCCACACACCCACACCAGCAGCAGCAGTGTGGGATCAATACTCTTGTGTCCGCCCCCCCCCATATTAAGTCCATAATGACGCCCTTGTCTTCACATGTCATTGTTGCTCTATGTTTATTTCTAGCCACAGATGTTTTTAGGTGTTAACCACAGAGACGTGATGAACAGAGAGGCGATTCAGGGATCTGTTACCGAGCCGATGCCCCTAACCCAAACCATATTTATGGTGACATGTGCTTCTCTTGTGTGTGTGTGTGAGCGTGTGGGGGGGGGGTACAGTATGAGGTGAGTCCCACTACTTGCGTGAGCGCCGCTCCAGATACTATGCATGCTTTTTGTTGGAATGCTGTTAAGCATTCCAACAATTGTTCTTCGAATCTTTATTCAACTTCTTCAACTTCTTCTATTTCTTCCGTACGTTTTTTGAAACTCTTCTTCTTCTTCATTTTTTAAGTTACAGAAACCGTTCAACTATCAAAATGTTCAGCTCTTTCAGCAGAGGGGTGCTGTGACTTTTAATATTTCTAACCTTTAAACTTTTTGAATTATTAAGCTTTTTGCAACTTTTTTTGAATGGGATGTTTATGGAGAATATTTTCAAATCCTCTTAAACTTCTTCAACTTTCAAATCCTTCTACTTCCTCATACTTTCAGCTACAGGCACCATTTCAACTTTAAAATGTTGAGAAAACCCTGAGCTATTGCAAAATGATTCAGCTTTTTGATATCTTTTACACTTTTTGAACTGCAGCAATTTAACTTTTATGATTTTTTCAGTCCTTTTCTGACTTTATAATGGGTGTGTATTGCGCAGCTTAGAGTGCGTGATGTCACCACTAGAGTGAAGAGCAGCTTGAGATTCTTGTGAAAAAAACATTTGTCTTTTGCCACTGTGTCCACAATCTTCACGCATCATTTTTGATGGAGAAGTAGCTAATCTTGTCCTTGTCGTAGACAAATGTCTGTGGAATCCCACAGACTTACACATTTGGCTCAAGGAGCCGCAGAGCGACATCAACTCCAACCAACTGCTCCACTAGACTCCATGTTAAACCTGACCACTCATTTCTTAAAGAAAGCAGACGGTACCAGTTTTGCATATTGCGCTCGAGCTCACATTATTAACACCACAAACATAAAAACCACATTACCGCGTTTGCCAGAGTCTTATCTCTCTCACGGTATCCATATTTTATTGATTAGTCTCATGGTTGTGGTATAGAGGGCATATGTTTGACAGGTAGTTTTGTTGAAAATCACTGTTCACTCTAATCTCTCTTAATTAGCCTCTAACACACAGGTGCTCCAATCACCAACATGCACCCAAGCACACAGGTGTTTATATGAGCTCATTAGTGATGTTGATAAACACACAGAGGCACTGAGACACACACGCACACACACTCCTCTCTCTCTCTCTCTCTCTCTGTGTGTGTGTGTGTCTCTCTCTCTCATACAGTCATTCAGGTCTTGGAGACTTTTAGAGGACCCTCCCTTAGGCCTCTGCTCGAAAATTGCATACCCATACTCAAGAGAGTGCCGAGCTCTAACTACAAGGTCTATTTTAATAATTTTGATGCTAGAATACTCGTAACACTTGTGAGATGTGTTGAATTGTGTAAATATTGTGTATATGTTACTGGCTAATAACTGATACACTTATGGCACAGCTCAAATTGAAAAATTTCTAGGTTCACCTGAAAAATAGCACTTGTATTGAACATTTTTTTTTTTTTAAATAATGCAGCTGCAAGCCTAAAAATACGCCACAGACATAGAACACGTTTTACATGCCCCCACAACATATTTTACTTCGATTGAGTGAAGCAGGTCAGCATAAATGGTCATAAAAATCAAAATTTTGATTTTCGGAACCAGCTGTTGCATTGCTGTATCCTAATTTTATACACTATATAACTAAATATTAACTATATATTCACTTTTCTTATCACTAAGAGTCTTCAATAATCCTAATAAATCAGTTTGACACCATTTTGAATAATTTTGAGCAGTTATGATGTGTCATATCTGTCATTCATAACAATAAATGGCACATAATGTGTGTCTATGTGACCCTGGTAAGGCCGATTTACTGGTGTGAGAGCTTTTTAGATGCGGGATAGTCCAACGGGAGCCATGCGGGGGTGTTTGATCGTATCCGGGTCTGTTTACTGACTAAAAATCGCAAAATGCAGGGCGAACCCCCCTCTCTACGTGGATTGCTCCACCTCACAGAATAGTCTGCCATTTTGTGATTCATTCCGCGAGCGCATTGATACCAGTCACAGACTCGCAGGACAACATGGCGGGCAGAGCTGTGCAGAAATCGGCTGGAATAAATCCGTTTTACATCGCCAAAACCGTCGAAACTTAAGTTTTTTTACCCAATTTATTTTCTCGTGACATGTGGCTGATGTTGGCATATATACCCATAACTTTTGAACGGTTTGAAAGAGAGTAATTTCGACGCCGCTGTGCGTTTCCGGGTCGAATCGTGCCCCTCCTGCATGTGTTCATCCGCCATGTGCGATCAGTGCTCCGTGATGAGAGAGCCATAGAGAAAGCATAGGTCGTCGATTTTTGGCCAAAATTGTGGCAAATCTTCCAGATATGATATTAGTTCATGTATAATTGTGTTTACAGTGTTTACAATGGCAGGTATGATGATGTTGCTTGGACTTTTCCCGTTAATTCGATATTTTATGTCTGGAGCAATAATCATATTTCTTTATGAAAAATGCTTTCTACGACACGCTGAATGCTGCACACTCTAAAACAGCCCCCCGTGGGGGGCTCTCGGGTCCTATTTAATAACCTCTGTTTATGTGTGTCAAACATTATGTCTCCTCAGCCCCACCCTTTCAAAATAAAAGCCCCATGGTTTAACTGTATTTAAACAAGCTCAAAATTTGGCTTTTTTGTTAAAAAAAATTAATGCTCTTACTAATACTGTGACAACTACTACTGCTGCTGCTAATATAGTATTACTACTACTACTACTACTACTACTACTACTACTATAACTTTTGCTGTTGCTACTATTACTACTATTATTATTACTACCACTATTACTACCACTACTACTATTACTTATACAACTGCTATTCATGCTATTAAAAGTAGTAATACTACTACAGCTATTAGTACGACTGCTACTAGTACTACTACTACTGCTACTTCTTCTACTGCCATTACTATTACTACTGCTACTACTGTTATATTAAATACTACGACCAATACTACAGCTATTACTATGACTACTGATACTACTTCTTCTAATTGCTAATACTTCTACTACTAATAATACTTCTACTACAACTACAACTTATACTACTACTACAAATATCACTACTGCTACTACTAGTACTTATTCTAATGCTACTAATACTTCTACTAATAATACTTCTACTACAACTTCTACTACTACAAATATCACCACTGATGAAATTTGTTAAGCCACAGAAACCATTCGAATATCAAAATGTTCAGCTCTTTCAGGAGAGGAGTGATATGACTTCTCATAGTTGTACTCTTTAAACTTTTTGAATTATTAAGCTTTTTGCAATTTTTTTTTTTTTTTTTTTAAATTGGATATCTATTTTCAGCAATGGTTTTGCAATTAATTTCAGATTTCAGCATTCCAACGCATTTTCAGCAGGAAATGCATTTTCTAGTTTTAAATTCAATACCCTGCAGCGTGAGATGGGGAATAAAAAAAAAAAATGTGCCCAAAAATAAAGAAAGAAATAAAGAAAGCACGGAGCACTTACTTGTGTCGGGTCATGGGCTTGTTGGGTGACTGGTGCGGGTTGAGTCCAGCCCTGTACAGGTTGTATCTGTTCCCATAGAAAGGGTTGGCATGTCCCCCGTACAAAGTTCCTTTCCCGTCCGCCACAGACAGCAGGAGGAGGAGGAGGAGCAGCGGAGCGGACACGTCACAACACCTGGTCCTCATGTTTGGTTTCTCTTCTTCTCTTAAGTCTTTAAATTAATTCCTTGCGAATTTGCAACTGGTAGTCGAGAAGAAAAATAACAGAAGCGATAGTTTCCTCAGAGTGTCGGAAGTTGGAGCCCCCCCCCCCCCCCCCCCAAACCGGCTCACGCGCGGTCTCGTCCTCCTCAGGAGACATGGAGCCCGAACAGCTGGAGCAGCAGCATCAGCAGCATCTCGCCGCGGTGTGAGCGCATCGGACGGAGCAGAGAAATAATAACGAGGGAGGCTGGGGAGGGGAGGGGAGAGGAGAGGAAGGAAAGGAGGGGAGGGGGGCAAGGAAACAACACAAAGGTGTGCTGGAGGAGGAGGAGGAGGAGGAGGGGGGTGAAGAGCTCCGTATACTATACATGCAGGACCTGAGCCTCCAAGTTCTCTGTGCACTCTCTGCATGAGTGAGGGTTTCTGTGTGTGTGTGTGTGTGTGTGGGTGTGTGTGTGTGTGTGTGTGTGTTGCCTCTGAGGCAGGCAGACGGACGGCCCCGCATTTGCATATCCCACCCCGACCACAAGGGGAGGACCGACTACTCATATGATTCTGGGGGACTCTCTCCCTCTTTCTCTCACTCACACACACACACACACACACACACACACACACACACACACACACACACACACACACACACACATCCTGTTTCCTGCTCTATTCTCCAACAATATACTTTTTTTTTTGTCTCTTTAATCCATTGATGTTTTTATTTTTAAAACAACAAAAGTCAGGAAATCAACATACACATTTGGTCAAAATAAACAAACATTTTCTTGGAATGCTGACTCAGTATAAACACATATGTCCTTGACAAAAACAGAAAGAGAAAAAATAATGATATATATATATATATATATATATCATTATTATTTTTTATATACACACACACACACACACACACAGTTTATATAAAATTCTCATTTATTTCCCCTCTTCTTCATCTGCTCTGGGAGCAGCTGCACATCAGAGCGCGTGCTCCGGTGTGCGGTGCCATGTGCGTAGCCGCGGCCCGGCTGAGACGCTCCAGATCTGGACACAATGGACCTCCTCCTAGCCTCACCGCGGTCACTCATTAAAAATCCCAGCCCCGGCTTTGGTCGCGATCCACACCCAGACCCCCTGCTCACGTATTGTAGCTCCCATGAAGCTCTTGAATTCATGCTCAACTGCCTCTTGTGTCCTTCAGGAGGTTTGCCCCGGGAAATTAATTCAGTTTCTATAGTAAGATATTGTCAGTGTCTGATGGGTGTCGAAATTAATGTTTGTTGAGGCCTAAAAATATGTCCAACCTTTTCTCAAAAACAAGCCTCCAAGAATTCCATACGAAGAATATCAGCTCACACTGTCATGAATCTACATAGTGTGAGAACGTTCTCACCATTTATTGTGGGAGAGAAAAGATTGTTGTTGAGGGCTTTTAAAAAAAATTTAAGAAAGATTTTGTTTAAAAGTTTATTTGAGAAGAAAGAGGCATGGCCTCTTTGAGTGAGAAGTGGGTATCTGCTAGCTCTCTGCGTCAACCGTGCTGCCTCAGCTCCACAAGGTTCCGCCTCTTCGCCCAATCAAACCGCTTCATAAACTTATGGATGACGTCAAGGAGACTAATATTTTATACAGTCTATGGCTGCAGCACTGCTCCCTCCAGTATTGACTCCACACTTTTTCTTTGCGGATAGAGAGTTAGCAAGACGGTTGAAAATGGTAAAGCGATGCAAAAAGGATGTAAAGAACGTCCACACATTGGTTGATGGATCGACCATCTCCATGCCGGTTTGAGCATTTGAAATCTTGCAGTTGTAAATTCTGATACGACCAAGACACCAAAATGAACTACTGGCTGGATCACAATTTCATGTGTTAAGAGGACAATGGCTAAATGGGAAACCCAACTACGACTTCTAGACTGAGTGTGGCTGATTTAAAAAAAAAAAAAAAAAGAAGCTACCCAGAGAAGGAAGACTTGAAAGGCAGAAGCAGGTGTTTGAAAAAGGTCCTCTTTGTTTGCGCGATTGGTTTGCGGTGTCCTTCACACCTGCATGAGGACCGAGCACCGTTTACCCGCTTTGTTTACTCTTCATTTACAGATCAGTGTGAAAGAAAAACACAAGTTGTGCAGAGTTTTCCAAACACGTATATTTCAGACCAAGTGCTCAAACAGCCATGGAGCTGGTAGATGTAGATATTTATTTTGGTTATGGTTCGTGACATCCTTATTCTATGGTATACACACTACAGTATGGAACAGTTAATGCTTTGTTTATGATGCACAGATTGAAAGATCTACGGTGCGTGAAGCTGCTGAAGTGATAAGCCTCCTGCTGAAGATGCATCCCGGCGCTCCAGAAACTGTCACAAAAGCCGGGAGACAGTGAAAATGAAACTATTTCTAACTCTAAGTCTATTCTGGCAGACAGCTCTGCACTGACATATCATTGTTTTCACAGAAGTGACTGGGACAATATTGAGCAGATGTCTGTCCAAACCAAGACATATATCTGCAAATCTCTAAACGTTGGTTTATGATAATTTTCAGCATTAAATAGAATCACAAGGGCCTCAAAGAACAGCCAGTCCAAATAAAACATGAAGGGTTCAACATTTATGGAATAGTCGCTGTAAGAGAAAAATCTAATTTTCTGTTTGAATTATTAGTAAGTGAACCAAAACCGTTTGTGTTGGCTCACGAGTCTGGTTGCGCTCCATTTGTCGTCTTCTTCCTGTTTTTCATTTCCTCGTGTTTAATGTAGAATAGATGGTCACTCTGCCAATATTGGACTTTATGTCTTTTGTGCTACATCTGCGAGTAGTTTCAGGTAAATATCCTTATCTGCGCCTGACTGACTCCACACTGTGAAATCTGAGATGAAATTCATGCAACTTTTTTTATTTATTTATTAATCTTTTAAGTCTAAAGCCTCTTGAGCATTGGCTACTATTATACTTTGGCCTTAATACTGAATGCAGTGATGAGAAACAAATTGAATGAATCCATTTCAGCGTAAACGGACACCACTCAATCTGTTTCATTGCCCTGACCTCTCCGTGAACCATCCCCATCCTCTCCAGGAGTTTTACAGGACAACTATTATCAGATTTAGACACATGGGGGCTCAGACATACAGACGGGGAGGCTGAGAAAATGGACAGATTCCAGTTTGGTGACATCAGCTACTTAGCACTGAGAAGGACACTTGATCCTTTCTTACTGTACTGACCTGGGAAACGACCCAATCTTCATAAAAGAAATGACAACATTATTCCTTCGCTGCTACTCCTGTCAGAGCTACAGTGGAGCCCATACTGTCACAAACTGCACTACCTTAAAGAATATTATCAGATCAAACAGGGTTTACAATATGTGTTTGAAGGATAGATTCAGGATGTCGAACTGATTCATCAGTGAAAACAAGTTTAAAAAGATAAAGATAGAAGCTAAAGCTACAGATCACAGAGTGAAAGTGAACCAACACATCACCTGGAGATCCAGACAGAAGACCATGAAACTAAGGAGCAACACCTAAAAAAACAAGAAATTATTGTGCAAATTAAGCCACTCGGTGTGTTGATTCCTTGGTGGTATGACCCTCCATCCCGTCCACTATAAAAAGCTGCTCGTTAACATGCAACACCAGCAGTAAAATCAGGCCTCCATCTACAGCAGTTCAAGATGGACGGTGATAAATCACCCACTCTCTCCGCTCCGCGAGGATTAAAGACCCACTGGTGGCTTTTTTAAACAAGAGAGAGAAGAAGTATTCTGTTTTGGCCCGAGGAAGGTGAGATTTCAAGAAGAACGGATAAGGCACATGTCGAGTTTGATTTCTAATTAAACTGCACACTTAAACTTGTTTTGTAAGCTGTAAGCTACATGACTTGGCTGTACTGTGATGAAACGCATCAATGCTGGTGTTAATTAAGATATTTGTTTTTTATAAAAATTGTCATTTCATGGTTCAAAATTGGTTAAAAACACCATCTACTGTTTTAAAACGTTCAAGGTCAGTTCTGAGATCGAGTCAACCGTTTGGGAATAATCTACGTCACAAAATAATAAAAGAAATAAAACGACGACTCCGGTTTCAAAAAGAAGTCAGATTGTATAGAAGTCTATGAGAGAATGACTCTACGTCTCTCTTGATTTATTACCTCAGTAAACATTGTAAACATGAGTTTATGGTCTCAATCTCTAGTTTCAAGTCTTCTTCAATACAGCATGATGTTCATTTAGTACATTATGGTCCATTTAGAGTCACACAGACCATAAAGCAGGGGATGCTTTAGGGCGGGGCTACACAGTGATTGACAGGGTGATACCAGATACGTTTATGGCGTCTCTACATCACTGCGCCGCATTCTAAATACGGTAACCGAACTTGAGGCTTTAAAACGTCAGTCAGCCATTTGTTAGTAGACTATGTCCACTTCTTACATACAGTTCATGGCTCAGACTTGGGGCTGAAGTTACACTTTAAAGGCCCTGCAAACATATTTTCTCAATCAGCTTCTGACTGTGAGTGACTGATGGGACCCAACACAAACTCACAAGAGTTATTTCACATATAAGATTTCTGTACTTTTTTTGTTTTCTTTACGCTCTTCTCCCTGGTTTGATGTGGGCGGAGCTCGGTTGTAAAAATGGTGATGTTTTTTGAACATTACACCAAAGAGACCACTCAATCCACCATTGTGAAGTGATCCGTAACAGACTCTCATATAAGGGGGACAAACAGGATTTTCACAGGGGTCAAAAGGGGCCCTCCTGTGATGGAAACAGCTACTTTTTTCCACAGTGGGACCAGGAGGATATGAACTCATAAAGATGTAGGTGTGGGAATGGAATGGCCTTTTCAGAGTGTACACTTGAATTCACAATAGTCACTTTTTCGTCTTCTCTTTGCCAGCACACAAGTCCCGAAGCACTTCTCGGTGTCGTTGTCGCTCAATGTCAGGTATGCCGGTGTTTACCGTCCGTCCGGGTCTATTCAAATAAGTGTAAAAAGGGGGTGAATGGGTTACAGAGAGCCATGTGTGTTTGAGACAGAGAGGCACCTCATTGAGTTTGTGGTGGCTGCAGCATCTCGGCTGTGAGAATGTGACAACTGCTGCTAAAACAGAGTCGCAGTGTTTGCTGTGAGATCTGTAAACTTCCTGGAGGTTTTATTGGGGAGAGATGAG